TTTTATTTAAGAATGATGATAAATTTTCATTTTTCTCAGAAGTCATCAGATTTACAGATAAGTCTCCAGAGTTGCAAAGGTAGTAACGATTTGGTGTATACATCGGAGTTCTCCACTACCTTGCTTTAACTTAGGGTCCAAGGGTATTCTTGCCTGTTGTCTCCTTCCAGGTGCCAGTGTCGAGAGTTTTTAGCCTGGAGAGTCAAAATTCACACTGGCAGGAAGTTTATCAAAGGTTTTTTAGTCTAGAATTAATTTAAAGCAGCTCCCTGCACCTTTACATGTAAGCTAGGGTAATTGGGACATGGGAGAGAGAGCAGCTGGTTCAGAAATTCCATAGGCAGACGTTGTTAGCTTGGCTTTTGTTAAGTGTTTTCCAATTTCTATCCTCCAGACCTTCCACCTAAGCAGGGTTTTGTTGCACAGGCAGATACATAGTTTAGGGGTTCTACTGGACTAGACTTGAAGCTTCAGTTATCTTCATGTATTTCTCTCCCCTACCCACCCCTTCCAACCTAATATACATGGTCTAATCCTACGTCTCAAGTCTCCTGAGTAGATAGGATCACAGGTATGAGCCATCTGGCTCTCTGGATGGAATTTTTTGAGTGTGTGCTAGTCCTGGAGCTTGAACTCAAGGCCTTGGCACTGTCTCTGTGCATTTATATTCAAGGTTAGCACTTTATACTTGAGCCATAGCTTTACTTCTGGCTTTTTGGTGGTTAATTGGAACTAAGAGTCTCACAGACTTTCCTGCCTGGGCTGGTTTTGAACTGCAGTCCTCAGATCTCATCCTCCTGAGTAGCTAGGATTACAAGTGTGAGCCACTTGTGCCCAGCTCCTTATAAAAGTTTCAAGCAGTTAGACGTGCTGATTAAAATGGCAATCCCCAGGGGTTTTCTTAAAATACTAAATAAATGATGGTGATGTTATATTTTCGATCAATTTGATAAACAGTTCCACTTTTCTCTATGATTCCTTCTTAGAGATACCTTCTTTCCTTCCTTCCTTCTTTTCTTCTCCTTTCATTGTTTTTTTTCTTATGGCACTGGAGATTGAATTTAGGGTTAGCACTTGCTAAGCCGCTGCCTTACCACTTAAGCCATATACTCAGTTCTTTTGCTTTTGTTTTTCAGAAAGGGTTTGACTAAGGTTGCTCTGGCTGACCCTTCATTCCTTATCTTGCCTCAGCCTCCCAAGTAACTTGGATTACAGGACTACTGCTGTAGTTATTGATCTACTGTTTCTGTTTCCCCTTTCCTGCCTTCTTTTGAATTATCTAAATGCATATTTTAAATTTCTATTTGTTTTTAGTTGTTTCTTTTTTAGTTTTTACTGGTTTCTGTACACATTAAAATATGCATCATCTAACTTGTTCACAATTTGCTCCAAGTAAAATTGTACTTTATATAAATATATAAAACCTTTTAAGTTATATAGATCTATATACGATCCCCATCCTTTTTCATATATTACTCTGAACTCTACAACATTCAACAGTCCTATGTACTTTAAAATAAGCAAGTCAAAACCCAGATCTAATTGCTCCAGTCATTTCTGAAGTTTCCCTTCTGCCTCAGTACTGGCATTTTAGGGCCTTGTGCTAACTAAGCAAGTGATCCACCAAGTAAGCAATGCTGCCAGTTCTTAAGGATATACACGTGTGTGTGTGTGTGTCTGTGTCTGTGTGTGTCTATGTCTGTGTGTGTCTGTGTGTGCCAGTTACTCAGAGCTACTTCTGGCTTTTTGTTGTTTAAGTGGATATAGTCTCAAATTTGTCTGACCAGACTGGCTTCAAACTGTAATCCTCAGATCTCAGCCTCTTGAGTAGCTAGGATTATAGGTGTGAGATAGCAGGGCCCAACTCTTGAAGGAAATTTTTTGCTTGATATAAAATTCTAGCTGAGTTTATATGGCTGACAGACATTTTTCTTGCAGCACTTTACTGTTCCAGAATCCACTGGTTATTGTGGGTCCTGGTTTTCGTAGGTTCCTAATGAGTAGCCTGGGGGTATGTTGACTGTTGTTCTGTGTGTAACTTCTTGCTTTTCTCTTGCTGCTCTAAGGATCTGTTTCAAAAACTTGACTAGATGCCTAACTATGGTTTTCTGTAATCACCAGCCAAAATCCTAGTTAATGACATTGTGCTGGTTTATGTCATGACCTACCACCACCACTATTATTTACAAAGGGGGTGGGGAACCCTGGGAAATTCTGATTCAGAGTGACCTAGCAATTCCTTATCATATTACCCTCCCACAGATAAAAACATAGCTGGACAAAATACACACACACACACACACACATTTTAAATGCCCTGGAGTCAACAAAAAAGGAAGGAAAAAATGAAACTTGAAATAACTAACTTGGAAGGGGTGAAGTTGTATTTTTATAGCTTTTATAGCATGATCATAGACTACAAGTTGGTACTGAATAATGATAGAAAAGTAATGTTTTTTTCTGGTCCGGCCAGAAAAATACCAAAAGACAAAGTTCAGACCAACCGAAACTGCTAGAAAGTAAGTATGGAATATAGAAAGAAGAAAAGCAAAGGGAAACTTTATGGCCAACTCTGGAATCCTACATATTTAGGAAAACTGCAAATAGCTAGTGAAAAAATAAAACAGCTGAACTGAAATTTAAGCTACTGTTTTAAGAGTCATTTGATATTTTCAACCCAGTCAGGTGACTGGCTAGAAAAAAAAAAGAATAATCAATACTCTCTGTAAGTTATTAGGTATCCATAGTCCCCATCATATCATTTCTTGGCTTTTTGACCAAGATAAAAAAATCTTCACAATAAAATGGTCACTAAGCTCAATTTCATATATAACCCCCAGGAGCATTGGGCACCAGGAGATTGCTCATACCTGTGGGAAGTACTTCTGAGAAGGCTGAGATATGAGGATCATGGTTGGAAACCAGGCTGGGCATTGTCACCAAGTAACTACCAAAAAAACACCCCAAAACAAACAAAAAACAGAAAAAGAGCTGTGGCTCAAGTGATAGAGCATTCACTTTAAGCAGAATGCCCAGGCCCTGAGTTCAAGCCTGTGACTGGCACACACACACACACAAAATAGTAATAAAAAATCCAGGATATTGAAATCTAGTCTCAACAATAAAACAAGATTAATCCTTAATGACCCAGATATTGGAATAACTTATAAGCAGCTACTTGGTGGAAAAAGAAAACTATAGATAGTGAATGGGAAATTGGAAATCTTGTAAAAATTATAAATTTTTGAAAATATAAACAGTAGCACTCAAAAAAAGTTCTATACCTGAAATTTAAAAATTCCCTGGCTGAGCTAAAACAAAATGGAAATGTGTGAGGAGAGAGGAATCATAAAGACAGAAAAAAATGTGTGAAAAATAAAAATAGAGATTTAGAAACTTGTACAGCATTAATGAAAGGTCTGACATGTGTGATAGAGGACCAAAGAGAGAGGAGAAGAAGAATGAGGTAGAAAAAAGAAATTCTTTCATCTAGTAACAGACACAAATTATGATATTCCAGACACACAAAATCCTGAGTTCAATCCCCAGTATGGTGAAAAGAGAAAAAGCTATTGAGATCTGATTTTTCTTTAAATTATTAAAAATCTGCACATGAGTTAGAGTGTTATTTTTGATACACATATATTGTAGTTATCAAATAAAAAATTAGCATGCACATAATCTTAAACATTGTGTGGCAGGAATACTCAAAATCCTTTCTGCTAACAATTTTGAAATGTATAGTGAATTATCGTTAGCTATTGTCATCCTATTGTTCTATTGAACAGTAGAACTTAATCCTATTTATTAATTAATCAGTGTATTGGTGCTGGTGATCAAATCCCAGGGCTTTGCCCATGCTAAGTGCTCACTACTACTTCACTACACATCTGGTCCTCTGTGTGTGTGTGTGTTTAGACAGTTACACACCTCTCGGCAAAGGGACTAATACCCACACTTACACTGGGGTGGCAGAATAATATGGTATTATGGAAAAGGAGAAATGTTTAGACACATGAGCTTAACTTTTGTCAGACTTACCAGCAACTCCCCGCTCAGACAAGACTTCTCACAAGAGACCATTCTCACACAGAATTAGTTGTGCTCACATCAATCTTTACTATTCATAACAAAACTAGTTCTACTACCAGCGGAGGTGGTGGGACATTTCATCTTTCCTTCAACCGAAATGCCGCCAAGACTTTATAGATATATATAAATATAAAAAAAAAGTCAAGTTACACGTGTGAGAGTCCCACAGAGCTTGGCAGCCTTTGTCGATGGACGGTTAGCACTGTTTCACCAAATCGTAGACGTAGACGTGGTAATCATCATCGAACTTGATGAAGCACATGGACGGCTTGGCTTTCACCTGATGAATGACCATGCCAATGTTTCTCGAGCCGTCCGTTTTCTCGCATCGCAGCCGTTTGCCTTTCATGCTGTCCACAATCGCCAGCTCCCTGGGCGTCGGCAGCGACTCGATCGAGTCGGGCATGATGTAAAGGTCGCCGGCCCGGTAGTCATCCAGGAGCTGGTACGTGTACAAAATGGGGTCTTTCTCGTAGGTGATGTAAAACCACGTGTTCATATCGGGCACCCGCGCCAGGACCACCCCCTTCCACTCGTGTCTGGAGCCATCCTCCGCCTCGAACACGTGCTTCACCGTCTTGCCAATCATGGCGTCGGCTAAGCGGGCTAAGTGCTGGTCGCTGATGCGAGACGCGGCCACCCGGTCGGGGAGGATCTTGAGGGCGCACACGTTCTCGTCGTTGCTCAGCTCCAGTCCGTACACGCAGTGGAACCCGTCGTACTTGATCAGGTACAAGGAAGGGCTGGCGAGCACCTGGTTCAGGATGGTCCCCGTCCACTGCGACACCAGGCCGTCGTCCTCCCGCCAGCCGTGCTCGATCCTGCGGCCCACCATGCTCCGGGAAGGCTTGCGCTTGCCGGTGGTGAAGCGGCGCTTCCGGCGAGACTTCCTCTTCTGGTGGGTAGACATGCCAGGAGGCCCCGTGGCTACCAGCCCGGCACGGCGAGCCAGAGGACTGTTCCCATCAGGTCTCCATTTCTTGAAGCAGCAGAGCCGCTTGACTGGGGTGGGGAAGCAACGTCAGTCACTTCCGTGGTCACTTCCGTGGCTCCCTCGCACTCCCGACCCGCCGCGGCCTCGCCTCGCTGCTGCTCCCAGCCTGGGCCTCAGCTGCCTCGCCTGCCCCGCCTGTCCGGCCAACTGCCACCGCGCATGCGCCCAACTGTACCTGGCCTCCTGCCCTCCTCCAACCGCCCCGCGCCCCACGCTCCTGGCATCCCTCCCCAACCCGCGCTTCTGCTACAGGAGGTGTCTGTCTGTGCCTGGCTTGAATGTCCTCCCTGACACACATGATCAGATTTTCATCTTTCTGTGCAGTCATAAAACTGGAATATATGATTTCTATGTAAACACAGAGACATATGTATATATTAATACATAAACTGTGTATACATGATGTATGTGCATACATTATTCATAGTCCACTAGGTATATATATAACACATTTTCTTTATGTAAATCCTGAGGTTCATTACCTATTTTGGCTATGAAGAATAGTGCCATGGTACACATAAAAGCATAGATACCTTTTCAACACAGTGATTTTCTTTAGATGCAGCCATAATATTGGCATCTTATATATGCTACATATGCAGACACACACATATATGTACACATTCACTGTGTGTATGCTATGTCTATGTGTATATTATTCATATTCTACTTTGTATACAGCATATTTTTATCCACTTATCTATCTCTGACTTCTGAGATTAATTCTGTATCTTGGTTCTCAAAGGTAGTGCCATGCTGCTGGGCGCTGGTGGCAAACACCTGTAATCCTAACTATTCAGGAGGCTAAGATCTGAGGACCACAGTTCAAACCCAGCCTTGGTAGGAAAGGCCATGAGACTATCATCTTCAGTTAGTCACCAGAGAACCAGTAGTGAAGCCATGGTCCAAAGTGGTAGAATGCTAGTCTTTAGCAAATAGTTCAGGGACAGTGCCCAAACCCCATGACAAAAGTAAAACAAAACAAAAAACACTGATTTTTTATTTCCTTACCTTTGAAAATTATAACCAGTTGGGTTGCTAGGTCGTATTGTACCTCTTCCCTGCCTCCCCCTGAGGACACTCCATATTATTTTCCATAATGGCTGTACTAATTTACATTCCCAGCAACAGTATACATGAATCACTCATCAGAACTTTTTGAAGATCTTTCTTATGGTAGTCATTTTACCTGATGAGAAGATACTGCATTACTGTAGTTTTGATTTGTGCTTCCCAGATGAGCAAAATGCTGGTGTTTTTTAATATGACCCACAGGCTCTTTGTATGTCTTCTTTTGGGAAATGTCTCGTTAGATCATTTGCCTACTTTTAATTGGTTTAGATTTTTGTGTGTTTTGTTTTTCCTGTTAAGTTCTGTACATATTTGAGATATCAGTCCCTTGTTGAATGATTGATGACCAAGTATATTTTCCCATTCTGTAAGCTATCTTTTTGTTCTGTTGTTTTCTTTGCTATGCAGAAGCAGCAATTAGGTAGAAGTAGGTTCTTTTTCCTTTCCTTTTTATTTGTCAGTACTAGAGATTGAATTCAAGGCCTTGCCCTTAGTAGACAGATGTTCTACCACTTGAACCATGTCTCCAGACCCTGTATATGTGTTATGTTAGCTGTGCTTTTTTTTTTTTTTTGGGGGTTCGGTCGTGGGGCCTGAACTCTGGGCCTGGGTGCTGCCCCTCAGCTCTTCAGCTAAAGGCTAGCGCTCTACCACTTGAGCCATAGCGCCACTTCCGGCTTTTATCTTTTTGCTTATGTGGTGCTGAGGAATTGAACACAGGGCCTCAGGCATGCAAGGCAAGCGCTCTACCACTGAGCCACCTTCCTAGCCCTGAGCCACCTTCCCAGCCCCCCCTTTTTTTTTTTAAATCGGTCATGGGGCCTGAACTCTGGGCCTGGGTACCGTCCCTTAGCTCGTCAGCTCAAGGCTAGCACTTTACCACTTGAGCCACAGTGCCACTTCCAGCTTTTTCTGCTTATGTGTTGTTGAGGAATTGAACCCAGGGCCTCATGCATGCAAGGAAAGCACTACCACTGACCACTTTCCAGCCCCTTAGCTGTGCTTTTTAAGTCTTCTTCTTCTTTTTTTTTAATCTTTGCTCATACTAATATCTTGAAATGTTTCCTAATGTTTTCTGCTAGTAGTTTCATAGTTTCATGTCTTGCATTTAAATATCTGATCCTTTTTTTCCCCTTTGATAGTACTGGGGTTTGAACTTAAGAGCCTCATGCTGGATTTTTTTTTTTCTTTTGCTGGTCCTGGTCTTAAACACAGGGCCCACGCTTCTTTTGCTCAAGGCTAGCACTCTACCACTTAAGTCACACTCCTCCACCTCTGTCTTTTTGGCAACTCATCAGAGAGGCTCCAGACTTTTCTGTCCTGGTTGGCTTTGAGCCATGATCTTCAGGTCTTAGCCTCCTGAGTAGCTAGGATTACAGGCGTGAGTCACCAGTGCCCAGCATGCCATATATTTTTGAGACAGGATTTCACTTCTTGCCCAAACAGGTGCCTGGCTTCCTGTAGTTGCTAGACCACAGGCATATGCCACCACATCCAGCTTGCTTCATTGAGATACAATCTCACAGACTCTGCTTCCTAGACTAGTCTGTAACAGCAATCCTGTCAATCTCAGCCTTCCATGTACCAGTTTTTATTAGGTTATCCTTTTCCTTTCCTGGACCCTTTTTCCTTTCCACTGAACTCAACAGTGAATGAAGAAGGTGTTTTGTGAACATTTCTTCCTGGGCTGGCCAAAAATTATAATCCTCCCATTCCTAGTCCCCAAGTAGCTAGGATTTACAGGCATAAGACACTGGCACTTGGTTAATCTTTAATCTTATTCTATGGTGATTTTGTCTAGTTTTGCTCTACATATGTATATTAAGTTTTCTCCACACCACTTATTAAGAGATTTTCCTTTTTCTAATATGTTGTTATTGGCATATTTGCTGAAAATCATTTGCTTGTATTTGGGTGAACTTACTTCTCAGTTCTCAATTCTGTTCCATTGGTTGGTTATATCATGTTATGATTTTTTGTTTTGGAGATAGGTCTTCTAACTTTATCAGGCTGACTTTCAATTTATAATGTTTCTTCCTTTGCCTTTCAAGTAACTGAGATTATAATTAGTTCCAGCTTTGTTCGTTTTGCTCAGAATTGCTTTGGCTATTTAGAGCCTTTTATGGACCCGTACAAATTTTTGAATGGGTATTTCTCTTTTTGTAAAGAATGTTGTTGGAATTTTGGTAGAGTAACAATGAATTTGTGGATTTCTTTAGGTAGTATGGATAATTTTTAATGATATTCCAGTCCACAGCATGGGTTGTGTGTGTGTATGTGTGTATGTGTGTGTGTACATGCACACATGTATTTGATGTGTGTATGTTCTTCACTTTTCATTTCCTGGCTTGAATTTATTCCTAGGTAATGTTTTTCAGTACCAACTGTAAATGGAATTGCTTCTTGATTGTGTGTGTGTGTGTGTGTGTGTGTGTGTGTGTGTGTACATGTGTGTACACACGCCTGTCCTGTCCTGAGGCTTGAACTCAGGTCCTGGAAGCTCTCCCTGAACTTCTTTTGTTCAAGAGTAGTACTCTACAACGTAAGCCACACGTCCACTGCTGGCATTTTAAATAATTTATTAGAGATAAGAATTGCATGGACTTTCCTGCTCAGCCTGGCTTCTGAGGATCTCAGCCTTCTGAGTGACTAGGTGTGAGCCACTGGTGCCCAGTTTGCTTTCTTTCTTTAAGCCAGTTCATTATCAGTTTGTAGAAATGCTACTTGGAAGATTGAATTCAAAGCCTTTCACAAGTTAGATAGATGTTCTACAACTGAGCTAAATCTCTAGCTGAAATGCTAATTTTTGAATGCTGCTTTTGTATTCTATATAACTGAATAATTTTGTCAGTTTGAAGATGTTTCTGGTTAATTTTTTTTAGGTTTTTCTATATATAAAACCAAGCCAACTACTCACAAAATCAATTTGACTTCAACCTTTTCTATGTGAATACTTTTTATTTCTTCTCATTGTCTAATAGCTCTGGCTAGGATTTTTTAGTACTAAGTTGAATAAGAGTGCTGAAAGTTAGGAAAAATTTTCAACTTTTAAAGAATATAGTAATACTGTAGCTCTGGAACTTTGTATATCGACTTTAATTTCTTGAGGATTTTTTTCTAATTAAAAAAATAATAATTAGTTGTTACTTCTCCCTCCCCTGTCTTTTATTTTTTCATTTTTTCTTCAAAAAATGTTAACATTAGTTTCCCAACACCAATTAAAGCAATTGTCTCAGCCAGGTGCTGGTGGCTCTGGAGGCTGAGATCTGAAGATTGAGGTTCAAAGCCAGCCCAGGCAGGAAAGTTGGTGAGACTCTTATTTCCAATTAACTACCAGAAACTGAGCTGTGGCTCAAAGTGATAGAATGCTAGTCTTGAGCAAAAAAGCTCAGGGACAGTGCCCAAGCCCTGAGTTCAAGCCCCACAACCAATAAAAATTAATAAACAACATAAAGCCATTGTCCCAATTTCAACAATGAGGGACTTTAGAACCATTTACCTCTGAATTTTTAGGTGATGGTCCATTTGGGGGCTGTATTTTTGAGGAGGGAGGCGCAGCCTCCCCCCAATAAGGACACATAACTACCTTTTTCCAGCTAGAATATTATCAGGAGCCACTGAATGCCACATTCTAATTTTTTTCTGTATCTATTAAAATGACTGTATGTCTTTTGCCCTTCATTCTGTTAATGTGTTTATTGTGTTTCTAGATTTGTGTATTGTTGAACCAAACTTACATTCCTGGGACAAATTCCAATTGATCATAGGGCATAATCCTTTTTATATGTCGCTAGCATCTGTTTGCAGTATTTTGTTAAAATTTTTACATCAATGTTACAGATATTAGCCCATCTTCTCTTTCTTTTCTCCCTTTTCTTTTTCTTTGTTTCTTCCTTGCTTCCTTCCTTCATTCCTTCCTTTCTCTTTCATTCTTGTCTTATTTTGTTATAAGAGTAATATTCACTTCACAGAATGAGTTTGAAGGAATTCACTCTATTTTAAATAGTTGGGATAATTTATAAGGAATTGGTAGTATTTATTTTTTAAATGTTTGATAGAATTCAACAGTGAAGCTGAATTTCTATTTAATACAAGATGGCTTCAAACTCATTACATATGAGATAAATACCTATTATTAGATTGTTTATTTGACATTTTTCTAATTTTTAATTACTGCTCTTCTG